AACTGACAGGCATGCCAGGTCTCTACATAGACCATGCAGAACCACTGCACCCAACAGGCATATTCACCCTGGGTTGCTGTTAAGAACTTTTCTACTCATGTGTACTCTAGTATGAAATGGAACAGACGCGTTAGCAGGAAATCCAGAAGATGAGATTTCCAATGAGCTGCGAATTAACACTGAGGCTTGGGGGGACATCTGTCTGTTCCTTATTTATCCTGACAATTATTATTTTCTCTTGGGTTTTCAGAGAGTTAAATTTCCTGGTAACGGGTGAACGTCATCTTTGCCCGTAAATGAGTCTGTAAGCACAAACTCCCTTGAACAAATTTATCACAGGTTACAAATCTCTTTCCAATACAGAGGAGGGAAATTCTAAGGAACAGAGGCCAGGGAACAGTCTAGAAGACTGTGAACTGTAGAGGGTTTGGTGACGCCCTGCTTTGCTCCTTCATGTTCTCAGATATCACGGTTTGCATAAAGTGCTTTGGTTTTGTTATGTTGCTGGGTGGAGAGAGCTCTGTAGTAACGAACCTGCCCCACCTTGCCCAGAGGACTCGTCAGGGTGTGGCTTTTCCATGTTGCTGATGCCGCTGCCTGTCAGTTACCCAGGGCACCTTCTGGTGCTGTAGGTGTGTTTGAGTCACCTATGGTCCTGTAAGTAACTCCAATAAACTCTTTGGTTCTCACTCAAGTTGGACTTAGATGCAATCCCTCCCTTGTTCAGCTGCTGTCCTCTCTATACGAGCCATGAAGTATTTTTATTAAAATATTTGATGTAAGGGCTGGAAGGATGGCTCAGCAGTTGAGTGCTTGCTGCTCTAGTAGAGAACCTGAGTTTGGTTGCCAGCGCCCAGGCCAAGTGGTCACAACCTCCTATAACTCCAGCTGCAGGGGCTCTGATGCCCTCTTCTGGCCTCCTTGGGCACCTGCATTCATGTCCACATACCCCCACATAGACAAACAGTAAAAATAAATCTTTAAAAAATAAGCTCCCTTAATCTAGCTATGTGATTTTTAGTTGTGAGTTCATTATAATAAAGTGATTTTGTTTAAATAAATTTAAAAATAAATTTGATGTAGAGTAAAACAGATAGAGGAGGTGCAGCAGAGATAACATCCCAATATCTGAAAGCAGGTTTACTTGCTGATGTTGCAGTCTGTGGTCCATTCAGTTGGAGGCCATTGAATTACCTGAGACAGCTTCATCTGCATGTGGGCAAATACGTGAAGGAAGCCTACAACCGCATCCCAGAGCCTGCTGTGTGCCAAGCTCTGCTGATTTCCAGTGCAAGGGCCCTGCAGCACAAACAGGAAACTGTCATTCCTGATCAATCAAGTGCCCAAATAAGCTTTAGAAC